GGGCTGGAGAGACAAAAGAGCACTGGCTGTTCTTGCAGAAGACCCGGTTAGAATCCCAGCACCCACATGGCAGCTAACAACTGTCCGTAACTCCAGTTCCAGGGGATCCAACAGCCTCTCTGTCCTCCGCAGGCATTCTATGACACGGGTGCACTTACCTACATGCAGGTAATACATGCATACACATAAAATAAAAATATTTTTAAAAAATGATTTAATAGTAAATAATCAAAAACTTAAAAACACACTCCTTAAAATAATTCAAAGTAACACAGGTTTAACACCATTATAAATATACTTCACATTAACATTTCTACATGTATATGCCTGTTCAAGTAAGTCTCTGAGAGTTAAACTCTGGGGTTTGGCTTGGTTGTATTGCTGTTGTAACACCAGGTCTCACTCACCACGTAGCCCTGCTGGCCTGGAACACGCAGCTCTCCTGCCTCAACTTCCCAAGTGCTGAGATACTAGGAGCTAAGTATTTTTTTTTTAATTTCTAAAAATGTATTTATTTTTATTTTATGTGTATGAGTATAATGTAGGTAAGTACACCAGTCAGAAAAGGCCGTTGGATCCCCTGGGACTGGAGCTACGTACGGACAGTTGTTAGCCGCCATGAGGGTGCTGGGAACCAAACCCTGGTCCTCTGCAAGAGCAGCCAGTGCTCTAACCACTGAGCCATCTCTCTAGCCCCAAGTAGTTCTTTTACGTGACAGCTCTGTAATGAAAGCATGAACACTCAGCAACTCCAGAGACTTTCTGTAGCTGACTTTCCACACCAACTGTTTCTTGGCCTTCAGCAGACCACACCTCACTTTCCCATTCAATACTGCCAGCCACCACACTGTTCTGGGAACAGGAATACCCTCGGCAGTCCCGGAAGCCCTCACCTGCTCCCTCCACCAACAGGCTAGAAAACCAGGGGAGGATCTTCAGACCAGCGACAACTTCATCCCTTTCCCCTGAAATAATTCTAGGGAAAGGCTAGTCAGGTTTCTTACTCCCACCCAAGTCTTCTGGTGTTTGTCCACAAAGGATGACTGCCAAAGCCTAACAAAAGTACACAGGACTTAGTTGTTAAAATAGCACAGTAGCACGCCAGGCATGGTGGGTCACACCTTTAATCCCTGCCTGGTCCACAAAGCGGACTTCTAGGCAGGCTGAGACTAGGAAGACGCTGTCAAAAAACAAAACAAACCCAAAAATAATAATGAAATAAAATATCACATTATCATCACAGGTATATATTATAGTCAAATATGATCTCACCATCAAAAGTTGTCCAAGAAATTCAGAAATGTGCAAGTATGTATCATGTGGATTACAGAAAGCTGAATCACAGTGTCCAGGAGTCCAAAACCACACAGAATTAAGACTGAATCTACTCAGTACCCTAGGAGTACTCAACACTGCACACTTTTTTTTACTTAAAGTGCCAGAATCTTATCTTGCTCTCCCAGGCTATGTCTAACCGTAACTCAGTATGCATTCCACAAGGAAAGCCTAGGCCACACCACGAGGCACACCAGTCAAGGTTACAGGGCGAGACCCCATCTCAAAACACAGAACCCAGCAAACAAACAATCTACATAAAACACTAAAGCAAAATTACGGGTAGCAGGAAGGGGCAGAATGACAGCACAGTCCGCACACTGCACAAGTCCTCGTCTGGACTAGACGGCGACTCAGCAGAGCTTCCAGCCAAGCCTGTCACCAACTGAAGGAGCAACTGTTGTAGCACAAGGAGTTTTACTCTCTCAAAGAAGAAGCCACTAAGCAGTTTGCCAGAAATGACAGTGTCTTGACTTCAGAAAGAAAAACCGTCCTAGCACCAGTAACGCGGAACGATCCTACTTTAAATGTGACTCAACTGCTTTTTACTGCTCGGTGTTCATGTCCTGAGAGTCAGGAACAACTCATGCGTTTATAGGCAACTGGAAAGGTTCGTGGGAAGGGAGGTTACAGCAAGGGAAAAAGAGCTCCAGCACATCATTCCACTTCTCGAGTGCCGCTTACTCATCTGTCTGTCTCCATAGCTGATGGCTTCGGCCAGGGGGCTCCACCCCTGAGCATTTTTCACCTTCACCGGGGCATTGTGGGCCAGCAGTAAGTGCGCACATTCTGCAACAGAAAGCAGTGGCATCATCACACATCATGCAATGTTCAGAATCCCTAAATAAGTCCATTTAACGCATGTGAAATACTCTTCCATGTATAATTAATTTATAAATTCCTAAGTATAAAAATCAGGTTATATCTGATCCCCAGAGTCAAAAGAACCCAACCTACCTAAAAGTAAACTGAGCTCTCCTTAAAAATAAAGTTACTGTTTCCTGTCTCCAAAAATATTTGGAGAAATGTTAACATACTCTAAAAGATAGGCTATGAACCTCAACAGTAATTTACACACAATGTCTACAATCCAGGAAGACCCAAGAGAATCTGCACACCCGTGATGTCAACGGAAAGCTCACAATTTCAGAAAAAGGCTGAATCTTCTAGAGTAAGTAGGGTTTCCATAGTCTTTTCAAATGTTATCATTCTTTTAGTTTGGAAACACACACACACACACACACACACACACACACACACAAATCTCTACTTAAGGACAAATATCAACAGTTTTCTAAGTAACCAAAAGAAGTCTATAAATATAGACCATTCTACAGGTTGAGAAAACATTTTAAAAACTCAAAGTAAAAAGTGCACTAACAGGCAAAAACAATTTTAAACCAAGGCTCACAAGAAACTCAGGTACAAAGTCCCACACTACCCTTAGCACTCATCACTGGACATCTACCAAGCAGCTACTATATGCCCTTTGTTTTTTTTTGAGGGGGGGGGTGTTGGTAGGTGCTGGAAACGACACCCAGGGGCCTTGTACACGCTAGGCAAGCATTCCACCACTGAGCTATAACTCCAGACATTTCTAACCACTAGGTACTGGAAATGAGAGGGAAGAACAGTAAGGTTGTCGGCGCTTACATCCTATGAAGACCACATCCGTGAGGAGAGCACGCAAACCAATGAAAGGAGCACGGCGTCAGGGTGCTGTGCAGGAAACACGTACAAAGGCCAGGGCATGCAATGGGCTGGGAAGGAGAGCAGCAACGCTCTATTACTTTAGTGTTATTCCTGGTGTAGAAGGGACATCTACGGCAGCTGGGAGCTTTATTAGAACAAAGTTAAATAAACGCAGTATGTGAGACTATGTGATACACGAGAGTGATTACTGCTGAGCTGATGCAATGGCAAACACACCGAGAGCAGACAGAAGGGCCATCACCACCAGCACGGGCAGGCCCTATCAAAGAGGAGCAGCTTCAGGAGTTGCCACCGGTCAGATGTGAGAAATAAAAACTAGTAGAAGACAAGGACCAAACAATCAACTGACGGCAACAAACAGGGGTGAGTTCTTTGCAGAAGAGTAACGCAATGCAGCGTAGCAGGGATAAACCTGGACCATCCATCTAGTACATGCAGTGGAGTGGATGCTAAAACCACCAGGTTAAAAGAGGGCAGTCCTACACTACCAAGCATCACTCCAAGACTGTCTACTAATTATAGCGGCTATCACCAAGCAAGTGACAGGACTTGGAAGCACTGTAGGCACTGTTTCTTGTGGGTGGGTACAAACCGGTTCTGTGCTGTGAGCAGGAGTGAGGTAAAAGGACTGCCCAGGCTATAGCCCTTGGCTTATCAGAAAAGTGGAGAGAGGCTCTTACTCCCTACTATCCCGTTCCAACTGATCCAATGGTTTTACTGAGGACAAACAAAATCTTTAGTAAAGCAAACTTTTAATTTTAAAATATTTTTAAAAGCAGGATGAACATCACCATGTCTGTAAAGCAGCATGCCCTTTGTAGGACATGCAGGGCTAGAGCTAGGTTTAAGCAGCAAGTTACACATCAGATGTCTATGACATGCCACACACCCTGAAGAACAGTCACCCAATTGAAGGTGAGCAGTTAACATAATCAGATAATCACAGAGATAATCACATAGACCAACTACTGTGACACATGCTTAAACATAACTGGGGCCCGGAGAGAGAGCTCAGCAGTTAAAAGGATGCACTCTTGCTGAGGACCCAAGTTTGGTGCCTAGTACCCACATCAGACAGCCTGTCAACTCCAGTTCCAGGGGGGATTCTGAGGGCACCTGAAATCATGTACACACACCCACATACATACACACACATAATTAAAAATAAAATATGCCAGGCGTGGTGGTACACACCTTTAATCCTAGCACACAGAGGCAGAAAGGCAGAGAGACAGAGGCAAGGGATCTCTGAGATCAAGGCCAGTCTGCTCTGCATGGGGAGTTCTAGGCCGGCTGGAGCTACAGGGAGACTGTCTGAAAACAAAACAAAGCAGAGAGGGAAAGGGAACCGGGTCGGCTAAACGTTTTCTCTCAGTAACGCTAACAAAGAACACTGGCGAAGGCGGTGATGAACAGGCACGAGGCTTAGTGACTGACACGTGCGAGACGAAGAGGCACAAACAAACTGAACGTGAGAAATTTTAGATGTCAAAGAAAAGTTAAAAATTACAGATCCAAAGATGACTGACAATGAATTACAAGCTCAGCAACGGCTTCAAGAATGTCCATGGGTGTCTCTACCACAAAGGGTCAGGGTTAGAGATTAGTTCTCATTTAACTTCCAACCACTTCTGAAATCTTAAGTGTAACATTCTCCGATTGTTTCCAAATCTATTCTTCAAAACTGTCCTAGTCAACATCTCAGACCCAGGGGAGGAAATGCCAGACTTCCGTGGTGTCAGACAAGTACACAGTAGAAAGTGGTCTCCACAGTACAATCACTGAGATGATGGTACCCATCAGACTGACTGAGCAGCCGTGACGAGGACAAGTACAAAGGGTGTGCACTGTCTTACTCCTGAACAACCGAGAACAGATCAGGCAAAGGCAAAGGGCAGCAAGGAGCACACAGTGCAAACCAGCAGGGCAGGATGCGAGCTGCTGCGCCCTCTCCAGGGAAGCCTTGAAAACACACAGCTGCACAGTCTGCAGATCCTGAATCACCTATCCAAGCCCTTCCCAGAGACTTTCCACAGAACTGGTCTCTCAAGGTACTCATGAAAACATGTAAGTATCAAATAACTATGGAAAAACCACCCACTACGCCCAGCAGCTGCCCCAGCCTAAAACTCAGTGCTTATTAGATCATCAAAGTTTAAGACCTTCCACAAGAAGGAAACTGTTAGGAGTTGTAACAATGAGATTTTTTTTCTTATCAATTCTACCTGGAAATTCTATTTTCCTCTGGTTACTCATCAGTGATCTCCAGAAACAAGTTTTATGGTTTTTTTTAACTGTAAAGAATAAACACATTTTTAACAACTGTCCACCACACAAGATGTGAGCTATGAGTTTCCAAATATGAAACACCTTACATTGAAAAGGTGATTAAATCTGTTCTTACATTTAAAATATTACCATAATTAGCAACCTTAATATTTAGAAGTAAGTTTTCTAAACTTGTTCAATACAACAGCCAAGTAAGGGGAAAAAAGAGTGTGAAATGGTACCGAGATTAGTACAGGACTTCCTCTAGTTCTTTCTATTTACTTCTGAGACAGGGTGTCCTTATGTAACCTCGGCTGGCCTAGATCTCACTACATAGACCAAGCTAGCCTCAAACTCAGAGATCCTCCTGCCTCTGCCTCCCAAGCGCTGGGCACCACCACACCCAACTACTATGGCTCTTTTTTAAAAAAAATGGTTATGGAAAGAGAAAATATTTAGTAATTTTAATATACTAAATCCTAAGGCCATTTACAAATAAGATGATCCATTAATCTGTTTCACAGCAGGATGGCTCAGTGGGTTAAAGGTGCTTGCTGCCAAGCCTGACTTGAGTTTGATTTCTGGGAGCCACATGGTGGAGAGAGCCAACTCCCACAGGTTGTCCCTTGACCTACACAAACACACACACACACACACACACACACACACACACACACACACACCAATTTTTAAGTGAGACAACTGCTCCTAAGCCTAACTGACTAAAGCTGAGTGAAGTGACATAAAGGACTCACTCACCTTTATTTCCTGACATCACAGCAAGGTGCAAAGGAGTATTCCCTAGAATTAAAACAAAGTTAGATCAGAAGTTAGAGTGACATTCAGACATTCACGTAAAAGTGGTTTGAGTCCTTCAGAAACTTCCACTACAAGTTTTAAGCAAAACTATCACGGCCACATACCACAGCAAACTCAAAGGTAGCAAACGCGTCCCTGCGATTCCTGAGGTTCCTACCCACCTCCCTCCCAGAAGACATGCCAGACATCCACTGTCTTTGAGCTTTCCCAGCAGGTGGCAACTTCCTTTTGCTGCTCGCTTATCACACCAGACTTCATTCCTTAGTAATTATACATCGATAGTCTCTTTGGAATGGGCACTAAGAATCAACCCTCTTTCTCAAGCTGCTCAGAGTTCTGCTGGAGACCACTATACAAAGAAGGGACTGCTGCTTCCTAGAACGGAGGCACACCCGGCAAGGACACAGGATGGAGCTTCTGACTACTCCCCTCCCCGGCCGAGATAGGAAAGACTACACTGAATTGAGCCTCAAGATGAATTAGAAGTTAGGATGGTGCGCACCTATAGTCCCAGCTCTTGAGAGGCTGAGGCAGAAGGAGATGTAGTTCAGGAAAGTGTTAGCTACACAGGAGTTTGAGGCCAACCTAGGCTACATGAGACCCTTTAAAAACAAATAGGGGGTGTGCTCAGTGGTTAAGGGCACTGGCTGCTCTTACAGCAGACCGCGGTTTGGTTCCCAACACACACATGGCAGCTGACAACTGTCTGTAACTCCAGTCCAGGAGATCCAACACTCTCTCCTAGTCTCCATGGACACTGCAGGACAAGGGTGCACTTACGTACATTTAAGCAATACACTCGTACACATAAAGTAAAAATGAAATTTAATAGGGCAATGCAGGGGAGCCAGGCACATCGGCTCACACTTGTAATCCCAGGATTTGAGAGGCTGAGGCAAGATGGTAGCAAGCTGAAGGGGGAAAGCACTGACGAAGTACTAATAGTACCCCAGGCTGAAAAACCAAACTACACGTAAACACATGAAGTTTGCAGAACGATGAACAACGAAATTGGGAAAATGAGCCAAAGACAAGACTCAGACGCTGCACTGTGGGTTTTATTTTATGTGGACTGCTTTGCCTGCATGTGTGTGCATGTGCGAGTGTGTGTGTGTATCTATGTGCGCACCTAATGACTGTGGAGGCCAGAAGAGAGCACTGGATCCCCTGAAACTTGAGATAAAGATGAGTATGAGCCACCTTGTGGGTGCTGGGAACCCAACCTCAGTCCTCTTGAAGAGCAGGAAGTGCTGTTAACCAGTCATCTCTCTAGTCCTGTAACTGACATTAAAAATGATGGTTAAATTTTCAATGACATCTCAAGGAACACAGTCTAAAAAGCTCTTAACTGTCAAAGAAAGCAAACCAACAGTAAGAAGTGAAAAGAAAACTGCTGAATAAAATTTGTGCATGCGTTTTCAGATAACAGCAACTTTGCAGAAGGTCCCACGTCAAGAATTGTGGTCAGTGAAACAGGCTGCACACTGTACATCATCAAATGCAGGATGAAAGCAACATGGCTACTTTTCTTCTAGGAACGTGTGAATAAGCTACCAAAATACTTGGTAAACCCTTTCAAAATGAGCCCACACACACATTCGCCACATTAAAGGTTTAGAATGCAAAAGCAATTGTCAAAGTCAGCAAGACACTACTTTGTTCAAAACTTAGAAAACCGAACCGGGCATGGTGATGCATGCCTTTAATCCCAGCACTCAGGAGGCAGAGGTAGGCGGATCTCTGTGTTTGCAGCCTGGTCTCCATAGTGAGTTACAGGCCAGCTGGGGCTACAGAAGACCTTGTCTCAAAAAGACAAAAAATTTAAAAATTTTTAAAAAACAGAACAAATTCATTAAATTTAAATTCTGTTTAAAAAATTTTATAAAACTAAAAACCACAATAAAACCCCTTGATTACAATAAAGTTCTCAACCTCTATGGATCAAGAAAAAAAAGAAAGAAAAAGATTCAGAGCTATAATTCATATTCTACTGCTAGAAATGAGAGGAAGGTAGGTAAAGTTCCATCAGTGGCTCAACAAATCTTTTGTTTCTATGTGACTTCAAGTCAGCACACCTCGGAATTCACTCTACTGATACGTGGAAAACACTAACATGTGAATTAATAATTATACATTTAAAAAAAAGTCTCCAGAAGCTTTGCTCACAAAATTACTCAAGGAATGGCCTTGGGCTAATAAGATGGCTCAGCAGGTAACAGTGCTTGCCAAGCAAGCCTGACAGCTCCATACACTGTTACATTTTTATTTGTGTGTTTATATTTTGCTTAGGAGTATTTTGTCTGCATGCATGTAAGTCCACATGTGCATGCAATGCTCAAGGAGGCCAAAAGAAGGCATACGATCTCCTGGAACTGGAGTTATGGATGGGTATTAGCGGTCATGTGGGTGCTGGTACAAGAACTCCAGAAGAGCAGGAAGTGCTCTTAACTGCTGAGCCATCTTTCTAGTCCCCAAAATCTACTGTCACTTCTTGTTTGTTTTTTGTTTTGAGACAGGCCTTACTATGCAGCCCTGGCTGGCCTAGAACACACATAATGTAGAATTCTTCACTAAGTCTAAAACACCCAGGTATTAAGAATCTCTTTAATATCAAATGGCACACAATTAACATGGTACAATTTCATGTGTTAGTTAAAAATCTATTTTTTTAATTTAAAAAGCCCAAAAAGGGCTAGCAAGACGGCTCAGAGCAAGCAAAGGTGCTTGCCACCAAATCTCATAACCTGAGTTCAAGTCTCAGGACCCAAATGATGGAAGGAGAGAACTGAATCCATGAAGTGGTTCTCTGAGATCCGTGTGTGTGTGTGTGTGTGTGTGTGTGTGTGTGTGTGCACGCACACGTATATTGTTACCCTATATTCCTCGTTTTGGCTTTTTCTTTTTTTTGGTCTTTTTGAAACAGGGTCTCTCTATAGCCCCAGCTGTCCTGGAGCTCTCTATATAGACCAGGCTGCCCTTGAACTCAAGAGATCCGCCTGCCTCTGCCTCCCTAGTGCTGGGATTAAATATATTCCTCATTTTTAAATGCATTTTCTGCATCACTCAATTTTCTATGTCAAGACATTCTTGCATTTAATTTACGAGTCACAGGAAGTGACTGAACTTCAGGTTCCTGTGTCTGATACTGGCTCACTGCAGTTCCCACAGGATCTTTCTTCTGCTTCTCCCAGTGTTCCTTTTAGGTCTTCTTGAGACAGGGTCTCCTTGTAGTCCCAGCTGGCCTGGAACTCTCTAGGACTCACTGTGGACTAGGATGGCCTCCATCTCAGAGATCCACCTGCCTCTGCCTCCCATGCTGGGATCAAAGGCACACTATTCTCCCAGAATTCTTAGTGGTATCTTCTGCAACAAAGACTGTTTTCTCATAATGAGTATTTTTCACAGATATTCTGAGTGGATTGTATTTACTTCTCTGCTCATCCACCCTGCAGTGAAGACCAATTCAGGTCTGGTAAGAGAAAGGCAAAGCACCCTAGTTTTTCTCCTCCTCACTGGGTCAAGCTCTACACAGCACCTGACACTCACAACCCTTTCCTGTGAGGCTCTACTCAATGGAAAATCAACTAAGTGGGAAAGGGAGGGTCTGATATAGTAAAAGGAATCAAAGATCCGATGCTCAAAGAAATTAAATAATGCCTAAACATAAGGAAATGCACCTCAGTCCAATCAGATGTACTACAACAAGCACCCAGGACATTAGTGCAACACACTTTGAGTGTGTCTGTGGGGGCATTTCCAGAGAGGATGAGCTGACAGAAGAAAGCCTGCCCGCAGGGGGAAAGGCACATCCCACAGGCAGAGGTTCTGCACTTAGTAAGAAGGGAAAAGGAGAAAGCCAGCTGAGTGCCAGAACTCAACTCCATGCTCCTGCTGCTGGGGCGTTCCCACCATGATGGACTTTACACCTCAGACGTGAGCTACAATAAACCCTTCCTCCCTCAAGCTGCTTGTCAGGGAGCACAACACAAAACGTAACTAACACAATGCTGAAACTACTCAAATTGGTCTAGAGTCAAAGCACTCTCCATCAAATGCCCAAATCATTTTTATTAACAAACCGGAAAGCAGTTACTACAATCCATGTGCAAACTTCAAGGAACCCAGAATAATGAAACCAATCTTGAAAAAGAGAATAAAGTTGGACTGCACTTTCCAATTCTGAAACTTTCCGCAAAATTAATACACCAATACAACAAAACGACAGTAACGGAAGGAAGAAGGGGAAGAAGGGCCGGAAGGCGCTCCCCAGGGGTCCTGGGTCCTCCGAGGGGCGGGGCCTGCGGAGACAGGTCTGCGGAGTTAGCCAGCCGGAAGGAGCCGTTCGCCATGGGGGGCGGGCGCGGAGAAAAGATGGCCCTGCATCTCACCGCGTCGCGAGAGGGGCATTTACTGACCTGGAGAGACTGCGGGCCCATGATGCGTGGGCGACAGTTAACGGAGACTGCGGGCCCATGATGCGTGGGCGAGTTAACGGAGACTGTGGGCCAGCGGTCTGGAACGGAGAGCTGGGTGCCGGGCGTTAGTCTCTGTAGGTTTCTTCACCCTGCCCCCCCCAAGCTATAACTATAATAAACTCACACAGAAATATGTTATATGGTTTGTCTGATAGCGCAAGACACCCTGAGAGAACTCTGGCGACAGAAGGACAACAAGGAGAGGGAAGGAATGGAAGAATATTCTGCAAATCACACATTTGATAAAGAGTCTCATATATAGAATATGCCGGGCGTGGTGGTGCACACCTTTAATTCCAGCACTCGGGAGGCAGGGCAGGTGGATCTCTGTGAGTTCAAGGCCAGCCTGGTCCACATAGTGAGTTCCAGGACAGCTGGGCTACAGGGCGACCCTGTATCAAAAAACCAAAAAAAAAAAAAAAAATCATATATAGAATATATGAAGAACTCTTACAATTCAAGAGCAAAGAGCCAGCCTGATGTAGAGAAGGGAAAGGGTTAGGTATC